ACTGATTAGACATACCATCATATGATGGTAATTCACACGATCCCACATAAGCTCAAGGGTGTCAAAAATGACACAGAAATGGCATTCAGGAAATCAGTTCTTCTGAAATCTGAGCCTGAAGCTAACGCCAAGCAGCAGGTGTAGTCTAAATTTCAAAGCCTATGCCAAACCTCAGTACAAGCGGAAAAGATGACGTGGAGTCCTGCCAACTGTGAAAATTTCAGAAAATGTGGCAGTCAGGTTAAATACAAATTTTTGGTCAAGCAGCCCTATTTGCCTTTCCTCAACCCACACAGATATTATTTAGACTAGTGCTCATTCCATTAACTCATAGAATTGGACCTATAGGTTTTTACTGTTCCTAAAACTTCAATTAGCCTCTGCCTTATTTTAAGTTGGCGCTGAGAAAGGACACTAAGGTTTCTGGAAGGAGAGAGTGGGTCCCCTGAGTGGGTATATCACCTGACCCTCTCCTATCTTGGAAGTGTTACAGCAGCCTCCCACAGTGATGTACACAGCCTTGTGCAAAACAAGGCATTAAATATATACTAAATAACATATTCGTTGACCATGTCTTTTGAATCCTAAAGAAACACAAATTGACCTTCTGGGTTGGGATTTTCATTGTCATTACATAGTTTCAACTATCATTGAGTCACATTATCCACAACATAAAAGTCAAACCTGAGTTAAATGGTTTGAGTGTGCTTGGAGAAGACTCCAAATTGCTCCAAACCACCTTGGTTTCCCCTGCCAAGATTCATGAGCATCCAAAAGTTAAAGGCTGATTCACTCATATAAAGCACCATAAAAAAAAAAAATGCTTAATCAGTATTTTTGATCAAGCTGATGATGAAAAACTTCTGGAGCTAAGAATAGCCAGGGGAGATAATCCCAAATGGTGGATGTAACTTCCCCTTCCGGCTAAATGAGAAGTGTAAAAATGGTGAGATTCGGCTTACAGGCAGAGAATGGTCTCCATTCATCATAATTCCTTCCTTGAACATCGCAATATAAAGTTTATTATAAACTATAGCTCTGTACAGCTGAAAAACATCTATTTTTACTAAACGCCAAAAATAACACCAAATGATATTCATGAGATAAACCTAAATATATCAAATTGTCAGAACAGATAAGGACAAAGCAGCACTTTCTTCCCAGCCTACAAAGAATACTGATCACTGATAAGTCATAGCTGGGCAAAGCGCTGACACTGAATCCCAATTCCCACCAGAAATAGTTACGCCACAAAAGGTGGCAAAGAGGCAATATTGTGACAATAGCAGAGTTGTATTCCTTCCATATTTAAGCACTGATTATAGTGAGCACAGTTCTATGGCCTTAGATGAGTATGGTATTTTTAGGAGCATTATAACAGCAAACTATAGCTTTGTTGGCTCTTCAAAAGTAGGATCAGGTTTCAGTAAAGGAGGCATGGTAGGGACAAAAACAAAGGTTATGCTGTTTTCCTAAAGTTATAGAGAAAGTTAAAAGAAGAATACACATTTGGTCTTGCAAATAACATATTGCTTAGAAAATCAGTGTCAAAAACATTTCTAAAACTATATTACAGTTATTCACACACCAGTGGGACTAAAAATAGGTAACTAAACAAAAAGATTAGGAAATTAAAATTACACCAGTAATGTTAGTAAATTATTATGGTTTCAAAAGAGAGGAGCTACTACAAATCACTCTGAAAAAATAGATGAAAAAAAGGCCTATCTACTTCATTGACATTATAAATATTATATTTCATTTTTTAAAAATTCAGTCATAAAATTCAAATGAGCATTATTTTAAAAACTACTGTGCATGAACAATGGAGTTTTTGGATGGTATTTCTCAGAATATTAAAGTATCTTATGAACTATCAATGTAAAAGTAAAAGGTATTTAGTATACCAGTATTAATTATATTTATAGTTCTCTAATTACTTTGAATTTGATAATCTATGTAGTATGGTTTTGGTCAATGAGAATACAGAGTTCAAAAGAACATAATATTTTCCAACTATTCTTAAAACTAAACTATGTTTAGTTTACTGTCACTAGTTTACTTTCTCTTGAGCATTTAGAAAGTATCAAAAGTAATACTTATCTCAAAATATGGGACATTCACTCTAAAACATAATTATGAGTGGCAAACTCAAATGATCAGAAAAGAAAATAACATCTACTGATTGCCCAATAGCATGGCAAGGACTAGGAGTTTTCACGTGCATCATTTCATTTAGTTGAGGATAAGTGCTACTATGCCCTTCAACACAGGCAAAATAACAGCAGTTCAGAAAGATCAAATAACTAGTCCAAGTTCATAATTCACAGAAGTGAGATTTGAGTAGTTGTCTTCTTTGGGCTTCCAAATTCCATGATCCCAACATAAAATCATAGTACGTCTCAAAGAAAACTTAGAAAGGAAAAAAAGAAAGAATCCTTTGGTCTTTTTACAAGTATTCTAAGAGAAAGCCAATGTTTGTGCAATATGTATTCCCATGTTATCATATTTAATGTCACCAAAACCCCATGATGTAGTCATTATTATTCCTATTTTAAATTTAATTCCTCAAGATCAAATCCTGGCTTCAAACTCAAGTTTATCTATCAACATAAAACCACACTGAGCTCAAATCAGCTAACTTGAGCACACACCTTTTTGCGATTGCATGCACAGTACAGATGGATGAAGCATTCCCTCTAGGGGCTTTTGATTACAACTCTAAACCAGGCCAAAGTCTCAAAAACAAAAACAAAACACCTTGGTTTGATTCAGTAAAGAAATAGATGCTCCATCAATTGGGTAGGGTTTATTGGAAAATAACAGAAAAATGTACAGTGACAAATGTTTTCACACATTAACAAGGCATTCAGGTTCTGACGCAGGCCTTGGCCCAGTGACTCAACAATACTAGGGCTTCACTCTGTGATCATCTAGACTTTTCCTTCATGCATAGCCTTTCACGTTCTCAAGACGGCTGCTCAGATTTCAGACACCATAGTTGTGCTTATGGCAACAACAAAGAGAAAAGAGCAATGCCACACCCTAGTTTTCCCCTTTTAAAAAGCTTTCCTGGGCACATTCCCAGCAGAATTCCTCCTATGTCTAGAAGCCAGAACTGGGTGAGCTTTCCAACCCTACCAGCAAGAAAGGTGGGGAAAGGAAGTGTTGAACTTTCCAGACTGTACAGAAAAGACAGGAACGAGAGAAGGACCAAGTAAAGGAGTGTTGTGTGATCCAACTAAGTGTTTGCCGCAAGAACTACAAGGGAGGTTTTTTTAAAGATTTCAGTTAAAACAGATACTTGCAATTTTGTTTATCCTCAAAATCGGGTCACAAAAATCTAAAACAACTTCATCAACTTTTTCATGGGTCTGCTTATAATATGAAACTTCTGAGGAAACAAACAAAGAATGATTTGATTAACATGCAAGAAAAAACTCAGGTCAACCTTTGTTTGCCTTAATCCATGAGGGAAATATCTGCGGCAGAGTCTACTACTTACATATTCAATATCTATTCTCCACTTCTTCTTTACTGAGAGAAACTCCTTCCTTAGCCTCTGGGAAGGCCCTCATGACACATTTCAAACCCATTCAATGAAATCGTTGGAAGGAGTTTCAAGAAAGTTCCTCAAAAGAACAGAACCAGGTTGGCTGATGTGTCCCATTTTGTCCTTTGTCTTCCTCTTCCTTACAGCTGGAAATGCAAATTAGTGGTTGTACTCGAGCAATTTGCAAACATGAAAATATCACACTCTTAGGAGAGAGGCTAAGAAAGCTAGGAGCAGTCTGGCTACTGAGGACACAATAGGGCCTCAATAACATTCCTAGGCTGCCTCCGTCTAGATTCTTTCACATGAATGAAACATAACACTTTAATTTGTTAAAGCCATAGCTTTCAGTTTCTGTTAGCCATATTAAGAATTGCTATTAATTGGACATAAAATAAAAATATCAAATTTAAATGAACTAGTTTATAGAAAAATAAAGATCAGAGAATATTAAGAATCAATAGTCACTTTTACAGATCACATGCCAATGAGTAAACTATTTTTATTGATTTATAAGTAACTGGACCATAAGTAGCAAATATTAAGCCCATTTCTCTAACATTTATATATATACACTAATAATATGTGACATATGTTTATGCACATATGTTTATGCATATGTTCATATACATGTAGATAGAAAGGTTATGTGTATATGTATGTATAGCGCATACACCCACTCACACATACACATACAAACATATATACATATACAAAGAACAAAATAATCAGTTGATAAACAGGAGTTTATGTTCATGCCTCAAAAGGAAGTTAAGGTGGGGCTGGCCCCGTGGCCGAGTGGTTAAGTTTGCGTGCTCCGCTGCAGGCGGCCCAGTGTTTCGTTGGTTCGAATCCTGGGCGTGGACATGACACTGCTCATCAAACTACGCTGAGGCAGCGTCCCACATGACACAACTAGAAGGACCCACAATGAAGAATATACAACTATGTACTGGGGGGCTTTGAGGAGAAAAAGGAAAAATAAAAAAAATAAAAAAAAAAAGGAAGTTAAGGAGTCAAATCTTATAAAAGAGATGACTAGAGTGTCATCTGCACAATATTGGCAATAGCATTTTCTAGGTGGTTACATCAGAATAATTTTTTTATTATTATTCTTGAATGTTTCTGTATTGCTTATCTATTCTTTTAATAATTAGCTTGTATATTTTTCTTACAAAACGAATGAAATGATTCTTTAGAAAAAAGAAGTTAGGATTTATTGTTGCTGAAGTGTTAAAACCAAAATATACTGGCAAATGTTCTCACTATGTGAGAAAACATTATAAGAATTTTGAACTGTTCTTTCAAGCACAATTTATTGCAATTATAGTATCTAACAAACGGAATTAATTTGTTTGTGGTTATGAAGCAGTTGAGGCATAATGAATTACAATTAAACCTAGATTTTTTTAAAAAGAGGTTAAATTTCCTTTTGCTTAGATGTATTTTTTTTTAACACAAAGGATTCATTTTACAGCCATGTTCCTGTGGAAAAATCATTGACAGAAAACCAAAATATTTATTCTTGGATTCAGAGAATGAAACTCGGAAATGTATTTTATTTTATAGGAGAGTCATAAGAAAATCTTTAAAATGACATATGTCAGTAAATAACTGGAATTTATACAACTGTATGCTTTTAAAGGCAAAAGCTTTTTATCTATTTTCTTGTTGCCTAAAAGCTATATTAAAAATAAGTTTAAAAAGTCAACTATTGCAGTCCATTAAATCAGGGATACAAGAAAATGGTGCCCAATTGTCTGAGTTAATGTTTCCTTTTTAACACTTGCCACCTTTGATCCTGAAAGGATTAGATTCTCTATGTCACTTCTCACCAGAAATAAAAGAAAGAAGCAAAAGTGAAGCATAAGCATCAAAGATGAAGCACTAAGAGAAGTGACTTATGTTAAGTCACACAGTGACAACTGATTTATTCATTAGGCATCCACCGTGCATAAACTATATTCTAGCTGTTGGGGACACAGAGTTGATGAAGGAGTTATTTGAAGGTATTTCACTTGATGGCCATTATGGCAGCCTTTCAACTTTATCATCTTAGGTCATTTAGGTCTATCACAGAATTAAAGATCCAGAACGAACTCTAGAGGACATCTAGCACAAGCTCATTTTATAGCTGATTTCACTGGGCAGCAAAAGAACAGAACTTTTCTGTTTAAGGTAGTCATTTAAACTGACATCCAAAGAAAGAGCCAAGCATGTGAAGAGCCAGGTATAGCATTTACTAAGTACACATGAAGGAAAAAGCACATGTGGTTCTTGGAATTGAAGGGAGGCCAGAGTGACTGGAGCATATTGATGCCAAAGAAGGGAAATATGAGTTGAAGTCAGAAAGTAAGCCAGGACCAGATCATGCAGACTCCTGGGACCCATGGTAAGGAGGCTGGATTTAATCTTAAGTCAATAAACAAATGAGAGAAGAGAGTTGATGAATACACCTTCAAGAATGCCTTCATACACTTGGCACAGAAGAGAAGGAAAAGGAACCAGTAAGTTTGTGAACTATGAAGGTAACCAAGACAGAACTATGTCACAGAAACCAGGGAGGAGAGAGTTTCAGTTGTGGGGGAGGGAGCTGATCAATACCGCCAAACATTACAGGTACATCATGGAGGTCATTCCATGTATCCATTACATAAGAACAGTTTCAATAAAATATTGAAAAGGCAGAAGCCAGATTGTGGAGGAGTAAAAAATAATTGATTAGTGAAAGTATTCAGGCAACGGGATTTTGCAAATGAAGGGAATAAGAGAAACAGCAGTGAAGAGAGACCACTCAGATGGAGTAATGGTGAAAAAGAAATTTTATTGGGATATGGAAATTTTAGTTTGGATGTAGGTAGAGGCAAGAAGTGCAATAGAGAGAGAGTAAGGATGTAAGCAAGATCACAGAGGAGGCAGAAGGGGATGGACTCTGAATCAGAGGTGGAAGTGTTGCCCTCGGCAAAGATTCAGGGAAAGAATAGAGATCAATGGGCATTTTTAAAGGATTAGAAAAAGGTAGTACTGTCCACAAGTGATGGTCCCCCAGAAGCATAAAGGGTATCTAACAAAGCAACAGTGAGTGTATAGCTTGGAGACATGATGAGAAAATAAAATTGGGAGAACATATTCTATTAAATATCACAGCCTCCCTCATAAGACCGAAAAGAGCCATCAAGTCATGGTAACAGTCCAACTAAGGTTGGATAGCATTAATTATACAACAGAAGAAAAAGCCCCAAACTTAACTGGAAGTATGTTTATCTCCCTCCCACTATGATGGGGATAAATATTTTGCTGAGCATCTACTCTAGATAGTATTGAAAATAAATATATTCTTTTTAGATAAGCCAACTCACCACATTTTCAGACAGCCTCTAAAACAACTTTGAATTTTCCTCTATCATTCTTTAATCCAGCATTTTTTTCTGTAATAAAAAGAGACCTCACACTAGTTAGAAACTAGATAATCTACTATTAACACCAACTCTGCTGTTCACAGTACACTTTGAAATTGTGTAACTGACATTTCAATAGCATGTTTCTGTTCAAATAAATCTGCATTATTTTATTACTAGGAGAAAATAGGCTCAAATTTTTTCAGTCATATTTCATTTCTGATGCTAAGTTTCTGTAATGTTTCTTCAAAAGCTGAAATAACGGCCTGTTTTGCCTATCCAATAGCAACTCTTGACTATTTGAATCTGACACAAGACATTTAAAAGTCTTTTGAAGTTAGAATTTCACCCACTTTCCCACTGCTTCAATTAGATAGTAATGTCAGCTCAAAACCATGATATTCCTGTCTTCTATTTTCCATCTCTTCTAGTATGTTGTTACTATGCTCAGACTGGAGAGAAGAAAAAAGAAAAAAGACATCAAAAGCAGTTATTTTAGCACCTTCAATTCTGCAAGCTCAACCAATCTCACGGGAATTCACTATATGGCTATTTTATTTTAGTTCAACGGATAAATTTCATCATTTTGTTTTGATCACAAGTTTCTTGAGATGCAGTTTGATAAGATAAGCAAATGGTATAGGATTATGGTGCTGAGTGCTTTCAAACAAGACTTTACAATTCCCTCTTTCTGTACTTCTCCTCTCATCACCATATCAAAAGCATGTTTCCATTAGAACTCTCCGGCATGACTGGAGTTTTCATTCTTGCTTGTTTTTTAGTGTGTTTCTCTGGTGTGCATCTTCTTAACAGCTGTCACTGACTCACTTTCAAAGACAAAAGGGTGGTATAGGCCAAAGCTTAGACATACGACTTTGAAGTCAGAAACGTGGGTTTAAGTCACGTTTGGACAGGTTACTTCACCTCTCTAAGCCTTGGCCACCTCATGTATGAAACAGAGATTGAAATATTGCTTATGTTGTAGTTGTTTAAAGATTAAATGAGTTAATACATGTAAAATGTTTAACGCAGGACAGAGGATATATTAAATCTTAAATAAATGGCAGCAATTACTATTCTATTTAGGCATCTCCTCTTATTCCCATTTCCTTAATACTCTAAGCCTCAAAATGCCTACATTGCTCCATCCAGAAACTGCAACATTATAATGATACTGAATAAATGAATTCTATTTTTTACACTGCCAAGAGAAACATAGCTTTCTCAATCTAATTTTATACAAAGGGCCATGAAGTTCCACAAACTGAAATCTATGATGAAACATAAGGTAGTCCAAGCTCCTACTTTTCTTTAAATCCTAACTTTTAGAATGAAATTCTAGAGCAAAAATTGAATTCACAAAGGTAAAGTAAACCTGGCATTTGAATGTCGATATGGCAAAAAGATTTAACTGGAGAACAGCAACAGAATACAGGACAATTCAGGGAGTTACATTTTTAACTTTTAAAATTTTAGTCATGCTGTTATTTGATTTTTCGTTTTAGTATCTTCAAATTTAAGTCTTTCAACCTCAAATGTTATTTTCTCTTTTTAGCACAGACCATAGCTCAACAGAGTAATGTAAACAATAATCTATTAATGCAAATATCCCAAGACTCTACATCCTCTTGGCATTAGAGTCCTTAACAAAGTATCAGTATTTAATTCTATTTAATTGAAATTAATGGTCATGACATTTAAATATATTAGAAAGAATAAAAGTCCACAAATCCATGCTTTAAAAAAGAAAGAAAGAAAACTACATAGAGAAATAAACCTATGATAGTGTCCCTGTGTGAATTTAGGCAAATCTCTTGAGTCTCAGAAGCTGATTTACCAGAAGCTAAGAAAGCTTCAGTTCAAGGCTCTCTCCAAAGGCCAAGAGGCACCCTAGAAATATATTTACATTTAGATTTTCATAAAATTTGCAAACGATATTTTAACTGCAATTGATTATAATTGCTGTCTTTTTCCATATTGATTTCTGTCACACTTTCCCTCCTATCAGCTGGCACAGGAGTGTTTGTGAGCACATCAAGAATCTAGCTAAGGGGAAGTTAAACTAGGAAGACATGCAGTCAGATGTATTGAAATGATTTTAAGCAGCTTCCATTTTATTAGCCATCCCAGTGTACAAATGACTTCCAAGAGCACTCCTACTGTCCACTGGCACAACTTACTCAGCTTTGCAACATGAAAGCATAGACTAAAGATTATATCATGATATAAATGTGCCCTTTGGCACCCAACACTAAAAGTATATAGTCAGTGAAGAAGAAACAAGATTGGAAATGAATGGAGCCAGAAGCTAGTCTGTGGGAAATTCTTTCATTTATCAAACATTTTAATGGAAAATTGAAAATGAAAAATTTATCAACATATAGTTAAAAGTGAAGATATTTCTTGTCAAGATACTCAACAATGCAGCATATGTAATTATAAATGCATATTTTCAGGCGGGTTGGAGTTGAACAAAACAGAATTATCAGAATTACTGTGTTTGCTGATCCTAAGGTGAGCACATCTGTGTGTAAAGTCACAGTTTATGCATCCCAATGATAAAAAATATATTTCAGTCATACAAGAGGAAAAGCTGCATTGTTTATTTTTCTATAGAAAATAATACAAAATAATTTTAATAGGCAGAATGTGGAGGCACTGCTTTAGTTTGCTAGGGCTGTCATAACCAAATACCAAAGACTAGGGAGCTTAAACAACAGAAATTTATTTTGTCAGTCTGGAGGCTGGAAGTCCAAGATCTAGGTGTGGGCAGGTTCCTGAGGCCTCTCTCCTCGGCTTGCAGATGGCCACCTTCTCCCTGTGTTGTCACATGTCTTTCCTATGTGAGCAACATCCCGGTTTCCCTGTGTGTGGCCTAATCTCCTCTTCCTATAAAGACATCAATCAGATTGGATTAGGGCTCACCCAAAAGGTCTCATTTTAATTGATTACCTCCTAAAGGTCCTATCTTCATTCTGAGATACTGGGGGTGAGGATCTCAACATATCAATTTTAGGGGAACCCAATGCAGACCATAACAGCACTAAGAGTATGCAGCCATAAAATGTAGCGAAAAAAGTAACCTTTGTAGGCAATTAATAATCTTTTAAAGTATGTTGCTTTTATGGATTTTGAGATGCTTCTGGCACTTCTCATCTTTTTTTAAATGTGCAATTTGTTGCGTTTTATTTTCTCATGTAAAAGATACATTCACCTTTGTACCTAATTTTGTATTTATAATTTATTTTGTATTCTTCTTTCAGGATTGCTGCCTGTTCCCCACACTACATTGGATTCAGTCCCTACAAAACCAGGATCCACTCCCATCTCATAGATTCAATGTCTTTATAGAGTGTCAGGATTCAAATGATTAATCTCTAAAATAGAAATCATTTTATTGACATTGAAAAATGGGTAGTTTCCTAGAAAGCCAAAAAGAACATGCTTTTTCCCCTAATAGTAACTGTCCTTAAATCCAAACATTAAACTGCTTGCTGTGTTGTTATATTTCACGTCTTATTCCTAACTGTATATATTAAGGTCATATGTAGAAAAATTTTAAAATACCAATAGAGAAAGTTTTGCCAATGATAAAAACGATATCTACATGAGCCTGACCTTGCCAAGAGAACAACTAAGTATAACATTTTATATTTCTATTTTACAGTCTATACATCACTCTTTAATGGCGCACTAATTGTGCAAACCCTATATTGAGTTTCTCCGGAACATCAGCATGCCCTTGAGTATGATCCAAGTTTTGCCTCAGGCTTAAGGAGATAGAATCCAGAAAGAAACTGAGCTGAATGACCTCAAGAGCTGACCTGTTTGACAGACACCCAGAGGAATAAAGAGAAAGAGAAATTGGGTATCTGATAAAATCCTCATGGTTTGCATTTCAAGAAATCCCCTAACTCACACTCATTCAAGATTCTATCATTTTACATTTAATTTCATGTTTGAAGTCACATAAAAGTAATGAAGCTTGTCAAGCAATCTCACTTTGAACATCCCCTGAAATGTTGAGAAGAATTTAGGTCAGACTTTCAGGTGCTAAATGCCTCTCTTGTTTCATAATAAACACAGTTCACCTTCACTGGGCAATGTTTGAAGTAAAATATTTTGGATTTCTTAAGACAAAGCTGATTTGAAAAGCCTAAAGAAATTACAGTTCAAAGTAGATAACTGCAATTTTATTTCTCTAAATTAAAATTTCATGAGGCTTCTTAATTTAAATCTGGATTTCAACCTTCTTGGATCTAATATTCATGACCAAATACACCAGCTTTTGTTCCAACCAAAACAACAACAGAAAAAGGATTTAAAACACCACTACGTGGTCTTAGGTTAAAAAAAAAAATCACTTGCAAAATATGCTCCTATCAAGGGTCAGAGATCTGATCAGCTAGGTCTTTAAAATCAAAGAAAAATACAAGAAGGCACTGTCATAGTTACTTAGTGTCACCCTTCTCATTTTCTTCTGTTTCTCCTCTGAAACTCTACTCAAACAGCCCCAAATACCAAGAAAAAGGTTTTGTCCACTTTTGTCATAATCCAAAATAAAACTAAAATGTTTCTTAATGGTGGTCAATGTTAATTTTTGGATCAATTCATCAATCATCCCTCTACCTATGAGTATTTTGAAGGGTTTGTCCTGTTTCCTCAGGGAACAAGCAATAGAAGAGTTTTTCTCATCCCAAAGCATGTCTTTACACTCTGAGCCATTCTTCTAACAAGTTCTGGTTGGAGGGAACTAGACAAGAGTAGAAGAAATAGGTGGCCACACTACAAGACTGGCATGATATTTTGGCAGCTCTGCTTTCTTTGAGACCAACACTTATATTTTGCACTTCTTTGTAAAGTTATAGCCAATAGAAAAATTTGTCATGTCTCCTTTAGACTTAGACATCGCTGGTTTCTTCATACTACTCTGGATACCATCTTCCTTTTCCCACACGGGGACAACATCCAAGAACGAGGAGGTGAAGATACAGTGAACATCAGTTCTGAGGTTAAGGTATAAAAAGGACCAGTCTTTGGTAGTCAGTGCAGCACCCGGAGTATATAGTGGATGTTCTTCATGAGTTAAATATGGCTTGGACACTCAACTTGAAAGCATAATTTTATGCACTGAAAGATACAGTTCTTCTCTTTACTTAACTCAAACATGATTATAAAATATCAAATCTAAGAAAAGAATTTAAGAGCATAAATATCTATGGAAATGACAGCTTTGACCAAAAAAAAAAAAAAAACAAGTAAAATTTTTGAGGTGAAAATAAAAGTATTCATGATTCCAGAGAAGAAGATCCCATCTGTGCTTCTTGTCACATTATTTTTATCTTCAAATTTACATATTGTATTTACAAATGTTTCTGTTCTCAGGTTAATTTTAAGAGCTCAAGTTGGGTATTTAAATGTTTGAATTAAGCATAACAACTAAATAAACATGAGAAACAAATCTTGGATGTTAAGTGAATATAGATGACTAATTTTTTTCCTTAATCCCCAGCCAACACTTGAGTTCAGTCCCATCTGTCTAACACCCCACTAGATATATCCAATTCATTGTCCAACCATCACCCCACAATTCTCTAAATGCATTACTTTTCCTTCCTGAAAAAAGTACCGCTTTACATTTTCCTTAGTTCAATCAGTGTTATAAAAATTCTTCCAATTATTTAAAACACAAATCTCAGCATCTTCATTCTCTCATTCTTCTTTTTCATTTCCAAACAAGTTTTAAAGTTACATCCTTCAAAAATCTCCTATTATCCTACTCTAGGTTCTCATCATTCTTATCTCAATTATTACAATAAACTCCTAATTCATTTTAATCCTTCAAAGTCTACCTCTTTCCAATTACCCTGACATAGTTACCACATTAATTTCTTTTTAATTCACCTCTTTCATCATTATATCCCATCACCCTGGATCAAACTCTTCAATCATTCTTCATCACCTACCGAAACAATTTTAAACTTTCCAGTCTGTTATTGAGGATAATGCAACCTAAATTTATCTCCTATCAAACCCTACCATTATAATCAGAATATTCTCTTCAACTCCTGAAAACAATCCTTGATCTCTTCTTTGCTCATTTTCTCTCCCATACCCCACATCCTGCACAATGAATGTTCTCCTACTTTTCTCACTGCCTACCGACTTCTCATACTTCAAGAAAAATCTGGTTTTACCTCTTCTCTGATTTGTCCTCACCCTTGTGTCATCAGAAGCAATATAGTAGAGCAGGATACATATACTCAGGTTTCAGGCAACTTTGAATCAAATCCCAATCCTGTCACCTATCCACTGTGAAGGACAAGTTAAATCCTTGAGCCTTGGCTTCATCATCTGCAATACAAGGGATAATAAAGCCAAACTCATATGCAGATGAAAGATTAAATGAAACAATGTATGTAAAGTACTAGCATGGACAAGTGATTTTACTTGGCAGTCTATTAAATACTAATCCATACTTCTAAATATAATCACAAAGTGGTTGTTAAAATTATGACCTTGACTCATTAAATGATCCCTGAATATTTACTAAAGAAAAAAGAAATCTCTGTAGCATACTTTCATTGCTGGCTATACATTCTATGCTCTATGAGCTCTTTGAAAATTAATAATATATACTTGGTATATATGTTATATTTAACTAGAATTCTTTCTTAACAAAAACAAAAAATAGTAATCCCCTCAAATGACTTATTCACAAATAGCCAGAGTTGAACAGCCAAGAAAAGAGTGTGAAAATTTTTGAATTCAGAAATACCTGAATGGAAAATTTCTAACCGTCCTTTTAGCATTATTCTTCTTCTAAGTGAGATGACTGACAAAGAATAGAGTGACATTTCTATATATCCAAAGGAGACTCCAAGCATAGTCTGCAGCAAGTCCAAGACAGAACTGACATTCAGTATGAAGTTGTGCTGGGAGAGCAGTTCATACCCTTCAACAGGCAGGAAGACAAGCTTCTGACTTGAGCGGTGGAGCTGTAAAAGGCATGGTGAGAGCCAGGTTGGCACTCATTTGCAGAAATTATGAGGAACTGATGGGGAAAGAAGGGCATTCAGAGACTGAGAAACAATGGTGAAGTGGTAGCTTGGGAGCTATCTTTAGGTTACACAAACATAATCCTTTTAAGGGACATAATCCAGTAACATTTTACGAACTGGATGGAGGTCACTGAGTTAGCAATTTCAACCACGTAGAAAAATATGATCAAGAATCTGCAGCAAAAAAAAAAAGCTTTCAGCCATCTTTATTATTTTAGAGTCAATTGAATAACCCTCATGATCAGGTTTCCAGTACACAGTATATTTTAAAAGAGCAAAGGTTGAAATAAGTGATAGAATAAAGTACCTGGGAAACAGAGAAAAAAATTTTCAACTGAATGCCTGACATAAAGGACAATAGGAGAAAACACACAAAAATCCGAAGCATAGCATTCTGGGGCTTTTAGTGCAAGTTCTCTCAGCCTTGTATATTTCAATTGCTCCAGGGGCCTCACTTCATTAATAGCACAATAAAATGACTAGTAGTCTTAATAAAGAAGCTTCTTAATGTTAATCAGTCTCCAAAAAACTCTTCCTAAAGGGTACTGCACAGTTCCCTTTCTTACTATACATATTACACTAATTCTAATATAATCTTTTTTCTGTTTCCTGAGATATTGCTGTAAAACACCTAAAATACTTAAATAGTTTGAGAGTAAAAAATAGGATCTCTTTATTCTGTAACTTATATAAAGACTGTGTTCTAGCTAATAAGTATGGCCCTCTTATTTGATGGATCTCAGCATCACTCTGGATTAATGCCTAGTTACAAATATTGATAAGTATAACACAATAATGATAAAGATATGTTGGGCCCTTTCTATGGCTGAACAATGGGTCATGCTCTTTGCCTGTTTTATCTTATTTAATAGTCTCAATACTTTTCATGACGTAACTACAATTATTATTACTTTACAGTTGAGAAAACTGAAGCAAACAAAGCTTAGGGAATCTGTCCATGTTCTTAATGAAAAGGGACAACAGTTTCTATGCTGTGATCCCCTAATTTGGCATTTTTCCCAGATAGTTGTGCAAAGTCACAAGTGTCACATGCTAAAGAGTTTCCAACATCAAACATGTTTGGGGAACTTAGGGTTAGGTTCAATAGATTTTACACAGGACTTCTCAGTGACTTTAATATCCTAAGGGGCACTAGGTCTCCAAGAAGGGCACATAAAATATAGAATAACATGCAGTATATCTCACAACCATTTGATAACACACTCCATTTTTCTTAGAGCATCTTGAAAACTAGTATTTCTTGAAACAAACTTGGATAAACACCTAGTTATAAAAAGTACAATAATTATTTTCATACAATTTTGGTTGTGACATCCTTTGATATAAAGCTGAGAAAATAATGCCAAAAAACACAATTTACAAAAATAACTCTATGTTTTCCCAAATATAGTACCCATAGCGTAACGGGTTGATTTGTGTCCCCCAAAGAAGATATGCTGAAATCTTAACCCCCAGGCCAAAAGAATATGATCTTATTTGAAAATAGGGTTGTTACCAATGTAATCAGTTAAGATGAGGGCACACTGGAACAGGGTAGGTCCTTATTCTGCAATGACTGTGTCCTTACAAGAAGAGGAGAGAGAGACACAGGAAGGAGATGGCATGTGAAGACATAGAGAAAATGCCATGCGATGACAGAGGCAGAGACTAGAGTGTTGCAGTGGCAAGCCAAGGAATGCTAGGGATTGACAGCCACCACCAGAAGCTAGGAAGAGGCAAGGAAGAATTCTACTCAGTGTCACAGCAGGAGCATGGCCCTGTAGATACCGTGATTTCAGACTTCTCCAGCACTGTGAGAGAAAAAATTTCTGTTGTTTTAAGCCCCCCCAGTTTGTGGCACTTTGTTACAGCAGCCCTAGGACACTAATACAGATGGATTACAAGAAAACAAATGTTTGATACCTTGAACATGGGATAAAATCTAGAATACTCAAAACGCTGTAACAATTAGACAGAGTAAATAATTTGGAAAGAGACCAGAGCAGATATTCAAGTGGTCAATTGAGAAGAGATCTATTGTTTATATTAATTTATTTAAAAAATTAATCTAGAGTAACTAACGTCTATCTGAAACTCAATTTTCTTATCTGGAAAATGGGGTTACCAGCTCATACCTTACAAGATGATTATGATGATTAACTGGGAAACATAGCATATAGGAAGCAATCAAGACGTATTACTACATTAGCTAGTTTATACTATCAACATTATCTTTCCACTCACCAGCCTTGAGTTATCTCAGAGAACTCCAAAGTCATTGCAAAAGTGTTATTCTAGTGAAGAAAGAATAGATATTATAAATAGGTTCCCAAGTTATAATTTCCCAACATAGTATCCATAAGATACTACACATTAGCTTAATGCTCAGAAGAGTTAGTACAACTTCTAAAAGCAATACATTTCCTAGAAGACAGCATCAAGCCACACATCTTTGAAAATTAGCCTTCTATGAAATGGATTTCTAGAAGATTTGCTTTCATGATAAACTTGGTAGGCATACCTTGGCCTAAGATCACAAATTTTAAGAGTATTTAATCAGACAAAACAACTTCCAAACATATAATGGAATGAAAAAGAAAGCACTTAATACAACAACACTCAAAATACAATTTAAACAGTGCTATCATTTTTCTATCCATATTGTCAATTAGTTAAATTATTTAGTATGATGTAAAGCTATTTGCCTGAGACTTCATGTACATAATTTTTCTTTATTCAAAGGGCTGGTCCAGAGCACAAAAATACACTTCTTTTCCTTCTTCTCAGCCCTTTCTCCCAGTTATCTCCCCCTTGTCATGACCATGTTTCCCCACTATTGCAATTTATTTATTAGTTTGGGACCTATAAAATGAATAGGTAATGCAATAAAATATGGCTTGTATGCCAAGTAGAAATCACTCCCAGGTAAAGTATGCTTACTCTGTTCTTATATTTTGCTGTTTAATATAGTAAATCCTATAATAACAGTACCTATTACATATCCTCAAGTTAATGTAAACATATTATATCAATATATGAAAGGCCATCAAAAAGGAAAATTCATTGTACAATTTACCTAAACTGATAGTGAAAAGCATGAGTACATCTAAATGAGGAGTCAGATTAAAGTATTTGCTAAAATTTAAGAAACTCCTGTATGTGCTACAGTCATTTCTAACTGAATCATCCTTAGAAAATGAGAGATTCCATGGAAGTAAATTTCCCATGCAACTGAAACTTGCAACCTCAAAAGATAAACATTTTGAAAAAGAAATATACTTACAGACAGAAATATCTAAAATATATGACCTACATCTTTATGACTTCTAGTTGCTAAGTCAAAGGAGTACTTGAACTTCAATATAACATTAGCCTATAAGAGTTGAACTAGTAAATTTAACACATAAGGGATAAGATGAGCTATTATAGAAATCTACCTAGAGGTCCAGATTTCTCCCATATCGATGCTTAAAGAGCAGTCTGGAAATCGAACTGCAGCATCGTTAAATGTGAAAAATGCCATTTAGTAATAGATAATATTAACATATCCACAGAAAGACTATCTAGGTGGTTGTAATAAGCAGAATAATGCCCCCCACAAACTGTCCACCCCTAACTCCCGGAACCTATTATCTTACATGGCAAAAGAGATCTTGCAAATGTGATTAAGTTAAGGATATTGTGAGGGGGGGACAAGCAAGCATTATCCAGGCGAGCCCAATGAAATCACAAGGGTCATTATAAGTGAAAGAGAGTGGCGGGAGAATCAAACAGAAAGACAGAGAGGAAGAGAGAGAGAGAGATCACCTTGAAATGTGACTCTGCTGGCTTTGAAGATGGAAGGGTGGCAGGAACCAAGGAATACAGGCAGCTTCTAGAAGGTGGAAAAGGCAAGAAAACAGATTGTACCCTGGAGCCTCTGGAAGAAACACAGCTCTGCTGACATCTACATTGCAGCCCACTGAGACCCATTTCAGACTTCTGACCTCCAGAACTGTAAGACGTATGTTGTTTTAAGCTATAAGTTTGTGGTCATTTGTTACAGCAGCAATAGGAAACTAATATGGTGGTCTTCACAGAGTACTGAAAAAGAGCAAAAGATTGGGAAGATTTTTTATTCAGCATTGACCAAAGGAAAGAGACCCTGAAGTGCATGAGTTATTGGAAAGGTATACTTTTCCTGGTCAGGAGACCTCATTGGGATTTTAAGCAGCTTGGATAAAAAAATTCCACAAAATAATGCAGTTCCCTTTGATCTGTTTCTGTGCTGACCATGCAAACTTCTAATGACCAAAATGACTTCTAGGATATAAAAGTTTTAAAAAGTGGTCTAGGTAGTGAATTGTATTATAAAAATGGCATTGTCTCCACCAAAAATGAAACAAGAGTAGGAAGCATCTCCTGATCCTTCTGAGTTCACTTAAAAAAAATGCATCCTGACAAATTGAGTATCTGGCACCTCATAGCTGAAGATCAGATTGATGGCCACTCTCTCTGAGGTCTGGGTGCCCTGCAATGGTCCCTTTGTAACACCTTTATTTCACTCTCTTCTATTTTGACACTTACTTGAATAGATTTGCTGTAAATTATTTAAAATATTTTTAAACTAATTCGGGGCATTATAGTAGTAACATAAAGATAGTAAATATATTTTGAGGGCTTGCTTGATACCAGGATCTATACTATGAACTTTTACAACCACAGTCTCTTTTAACCCTCTACATAATTTCTGAGGCATTGCACAGGTGGAGAAATGATGCTTAGAGCAGTTAAGTAAGTTGTCCAAGGTCACACCATTAATAAGGTACCAGAAGTTGAATCCCTGTGTGTCTGACTTCAAAGCCCCAAGCTCTGAACTATGATCACTGTAATAAAATAATGTTGCTGGGAACTTCAAGTATTTACGGCTTTTCACTCCCATAGTAAACTGCTCCCAAGAGCTAGGTTTTTGAAATTCTGGAATGCTGTCTTTACTTGTTTTTCCTATCTTGTTATCAGAATTTAATTTATATCTCCCAGAGAAATTATAAAAACAAAATTTATGAACAAGTATGTCCAGGGGGCCAGCCCCATGGTGTAGACGTTAAGTTTGGTGTGCTCTGCTTTGACCACCCAGGTTCGTGGGTTCAGATCCCGGGCACAGAACTATACCACTCAGCCATGCTGAGGCAGTGACCCACCTATAAAGTGGAGGAAGATTGGCACAGATTAACATCTCAGATTAAGCTCAGACTTAATCTTCCTCAAGCAAAAAAAGAGAAAGATTGGCAACAGGTGTTAGCTCAGGGCTGATCTTCCTCAGAAAAAAACAAAAGTATGTCCAAATTATAGCTCATAGGCTATCACTCTCTAGGAGAGAACGTAGTCTCCAAGTTGTCTTTTGTGAAAACATTAGCCTTGAAAATCATTTTAAATTAAAATAATAATACCATCTATTCTAGTAAATTACTGACTCAAAAGAACTTGCCACACTGTTATATAATCATCAGTAGTATCTTTTCCTGGTTAGATTACAAACCACCTGGGGGAAAGAACCCAGCATTACGTGGGTTTGTATCTCTGTCTTTGGCATATCCTTGAGAAAAATCTCCCCCATAAGGCCTGAAGAATACACCAACAATACCCACTGGAAATAAGTCTCCCTTCTGGTGGGAAGTTAGTGACTTTAGCAGAATGTATATACTGTACCTATTGTCCCAACGAAGCTGTCCTAAGGTCTATGTGCCTCTTTCTAAAACTAGACATTGATATTGCAATGAGGAAGGAGAACACCAAATATTTTCTAGTTTCCTAGGAATTCTTTGCTCCTATATTTCCATTTAAATATAGAGATAAATTTTCTCTGAAGTGTCACAAGTAAGAAAACTACATTTGAATGTAATCCAAAGACCCATAACTTCTGCCCTGAGAAGAAGAAGCCAAAAGCCCACCTCTTTGCACCAGGAGTCCCTAAGCCTGTAAAGTATTTAACTTGTCTGCAAGGTAAGACATTCTTACTTATAAATTCCGATCATTAAGTGAGTAATGCTAACTTGGAGCCGAGACCCAGTGGGACAATTGAATAATTTCTTCTTTAGGTAGAGGACCAGAAGTAGTTCAATTAACTTCTGAATATTGTTTCAGATTGTATTTGATCAGAAAATAAATGAATAATAAAACCATTTTGTCTAGTCTATGTCTCCTGATGTCCTGAAATTTCTGTCTCATTGTGATTTAAAAAAATTAAAGCAGAATGTTTTCCAACTTTCCATTTCCCTGACTTGGGCAAATTAGAGATGACAGTTTTTGGCTTTCAATACATATGTGATTTATTAAATGAGTGAATAAATAAATGAATGATGAAAATGTAAGTTGATAAAGTACGTGAGGTTGGAACAAAATCAATCTGAATTTGGCTTTATAATGGCAGTGTTTAATTTATCTTTAAAATTCAATTTGTTTAAATGAATATAAACCACTAGACCCAAGAATAGGAAAAGCTGATTACAAATGTTAATTAAAAATATTTAATTTTGCTGGGCCTGATGAGCTACATGAAGAAACATTATTCACACTCAGATAATTCTCAGAGAACTGCCATGCAAGATAAAAGGTTAATTCTGCCGCAAATATAGGTAAACAAAATGCTGTTTGCCTCTTTAGCCATGCTTATTTAAGTATACTTTTGAAAATAAGTTATTAGATAAATAATAACAGAAAGGCAAAATGAGTATGCAATTATTAAGTATTTGTTTCCTAACCAAGAAGCTAAAACTAGCAATATAATCTCACTGATACTAATAAGGTTCATCTAACAAAACTGATTTAAATAACTGTGTTCCAGGCACTATGGAGGCTCTGGGGTTACAAAAATAAGTAAAGTATTGTCCCACTCCTCAGTAAACTCAGAGTCTAGCAGACCAGACAGGTTCACAAATAACCCACCTAAACACACTGAAGAATGCTATGAGACCGATCCTTTCCAACGACTGCGGGAGGACTATTAAGAGATCATAAATTCTGCCTCAGCATTGGAGGACACTGGGGAAGGCTTCACAGAGCAGGCCACCTACACATCTGGTTTAAAGGATGGCAATACAAAGTAAGGACATTCATGAAGAGCTGGCAGCATGAGCAAAGTCAAGGGTGAAACTAAATGGCAGCGCTGCAGAAAGTGAGTAGAGTGAGGTAGCTAGAACAAAGGATTTGTAATGGGCAGTAAGTGGAAACAGGGCAAAAGATGAGCGAGAACCAATGGTCAAGCAGTTGAAATTTCTTCTGTGGCAATAAAATGTGAACCATAATATTGTCCATTCATATATCTTTCTGACCATTAGAACTTATCACAGAGGTTTTAACATTTTTTGTTTTATATTCTTATGGTTAAGCAAGGGATCAGATCGATGTGAACAGGCATGGAGGAAGCTGGAAAAGGGTCAGGAGATTATTTTTAGAATCTCTTAGAGAAGATTAAGGCAGAGGGTGAGGAAATGGAAAAGAGAGGAAAGAATAAACACAGGCTCTGCTGAACAACTGCCAATGTAATTTTGTAGTCAAGGCACGGCCTTTGGAATCATAAACGCCTGTGTTAGAATTCCAGCTCCCCAATCACTAGTGTGTTACCTTGTACAAATCCTACTTAATCTCTTCAAGCCTCAGTCTCTCCAGCAGTAAAATGGTAAAAACAAATAGTATGTATCTCCTAAGGTCAATTAAGATAATGCACGGGGCCGGCCAGGTGGCACAGCAGTTAAGTTTGCATGTTCCACTTTTTGCGGGCCGGGGGTTCACCAGTTCGGATGCCTGGTGTGGACACGGCACCGTTTGGCAAGTCACGCTGTGGCAGGCATTCCACATATAAAGTAGAGGAAGATGGGCATGGATGTTAGCTCAGGGCCAGTCTTCCTCAGCGAAAAGAGGAGGATTGGCAGGAGTTAGCTCAGGGCTAATCTTCCTCAAAAAACAAAAAAAAAAAGATAATGCACAGTACATGACACACAGAAAATGATCAAAAAAGAATAGTTATCATTACTATAATTTTTAAATGTATGCATTACTAGTTGTTCACATGACAATCACCTTGCATGTATCCAAATATGGCTGAGTTTAATAAAAATTATTTTATTATTCTTAGTCTCAAACATTCTAACATAATGCATTCAAATACAATTAGCTAATCAAAAAAAATTGAATCAGGAATTCTGGGAAAATGGTGGCAGCAGTGGAAACATAATTTTGAATCTTCTGAATCTCCATATAAAAATATGCAGAGTCACTTCATAGCAAAACTAAGAACCCATGGACTACATTTGCCAAAACTAGGTGACAAGATATTCTGCAAAGCCCCCAAGTAAAAGTGCATGGGTTCAAAGCACTATCAGGCACAAAGCCTGCCTGGTATCATCACTTCATGGAAAGAAACAGAATTAATGGAGCAACGGAAGACCTGAGAACAAAAGAACCCCAATGTAGCCACTAGGTACTCACTGAAAAGTGCCAGTGGCCAGTTTTAAGAAACGAAACTAAATGGTAAGGGGTTTCCCCACTCCAACAGAGTCCCATGTAAGGTCCAAAGGAGCTGGAACAGTTTAATGCATGTGACTTCTAAAAAGAGACCTTCCAAGCTGCCTTCCTGAATGGGACTCCACACCGAGGAAAAACTGCTAGGAATAGAATTGACATACAGGAGAGAGACAAAGGGGAGGAAGAAATGAGACAGCCCAGAGAAAAAAAGTAGAGTTTGGGAACCTAGCCAGAAAAATCTCAGAAAGCAAGGCATCATATTATTTCAGTGCTACACAAAAACAATAGACTGTGGGGAAATCTACTGGTCAAATTACCCAGGTTCTTCAATAGACAAGTTGTAAGGACAAAAGGGGAGGGGAGGAGGAACGGAGACTTTTGAGTATCACTTGAAGATGTAAAAAGTTGAAAGACCTCATTCTCAACTTTAATCAAAAAATCATGGATGTCTCAGTCTATTTGGGCTGCTATCAGAGAATACCATAGACTGGGTGACTTATAAACAACAGAAATTGATTTCTTGCAGTTCCGGAGGCTGGAAGCCCAAGATCAAGGAGGCGGCAGATTCAGTGTCTGGCAAGGATCTACTTCCTGTTTCATAGACAGCATCTTTTCACTGTGTCCTCACATGGTGGAAAGGTCAGGGAGCTCTCTGGGGCCACTTTTACAAGGGCATTGATCTGTTTCATGGAGGCTCCACCTTCATGACCTAATCACCTCCCAAAGGCCCCACCTCCGAACACCATCACATTGCACGTTAGGATTTAACATATTATTTTGGAGGGGACACAAATATTCGGTCTATAGCAATGAACAAATGAAAAATTGACAACTTGAACAAACTGAAGTGCTAAGGTCAGAGGGCAACCAACTGGCCCCAAATCTAAAGAGAATCAGGTGCCTGCAAGAAGAGACAAGAGGTAAGCACTGATTTAATTGGTAAAGAGACATCTGGACACTGGTAAAAAGAGATGAAAGGTCCACAAACTTTTTCTTCATAGGGCCAGAAAGTAAATACTTTCAGCTTTGGAAGCCGTACAGACTGGGTCACATCTACTCAGCTTTGTCAAAAACAGAGAGAGCTAATAGATAAATAAATGAGCATGGATGTGTCTCAAAAGAAGTTTATTTTAAAAAATTCACAGCAGGCCATGGTTTGATACCCTTGAGCTAGATGTTTGGTCAATTGGCAGAGACTGAGTGTGCACTGTCAAGGGAGAGGAAAGCCCCTGGGAGCTGCAGGTGTAGAGAGAGTTAACATCCTCTTCCAGGCTTCTTCCCCAGGCATTTAGAGAAAAGATCAGGAAAATCCTGAGAAAGTCTCTCCTGTGAAATAAAACAGTAAGTCCTAACAGAGCAATTCACATAATGTTATTAAAGAGATAAAGGGAAAGATTATGAGACTGTCGGGAAGCTAATTAAAAGAAGTCAGAAAATGAAGACTCGAAAGGAACTACAATTAAATAGTTTACAATAGAGTAGGGTTAGTGGTCTTTAGTCCCTAGGATGACCCACATCCAGAGACAAACATAGCTGCTTTTTAGGAAAGAGTGGGAGAAAAAAAAGAGAGATTGAATTTCCAACA